TTTGCTGACTAGGTCAGACCTCAGTGCAACCAACATTCTCATTGTTATTGCTGCTTGATGTGTGCTCCATAATATCTGTGAGAGTAAGGGGGGAGACATTTATGGCGGGGTGGGAGGTTGAGGCAAATCGCCTGGCATCCGATTTTGAGCAGCCAGACACCAGGGCAATTAGAAGAGCACAGTAAGGCGCACTGCGCATCAGAGAGGCTTTGAAAACCAGTTTCATGACTGACCAGGCTTCAGTGTGACAATTGTGTGTGTTTCTCCTTGATGCAAACCCACCCCCTTTGTTGATTTTAATTCCCTGTAAGCCAACCACCCTCCCCCCTTTGAAATAAAGTAACTATTGTTTTGAAACCATGCATTCTTTCTTTAATTAATTAATTTTAAAAAATGAGATAACGGACAAGGTAGCCTGGGTGGGGTGGTGGAGGAGGGAAGGACAAGGCCACATTGCTTATTGTAGCCGCACTAAAAATCAAACTATTTGAATGACAGCCTTCTGTTGCTTGGGCCATCCTCTGCAGTGGAGTGGCTGGGTGCCCGGAGCCTCCCCCCTTGCGTTCTTGGGTGTCTGGGTGAGGAGGCTATGGAACATGGGGAGGAGGGTAAGCAGTTATACAGTGGATGCAGTGGGGGTCTGTGCTCTTGTTGGCTTTCCTGCAGCTCCAATAGATGCTTCATCATGTCCGTTTGCTCCCACATTGGCCTCAGCATCACGTCCTGCCTCCACTCTTCGTGCTCACTTAATTTTTTCCTGGCCTCTGCCACTGAATGCCTCCATGCATTAAGCTGTACCCTATCAGTGCGGGAGTACTGCATGAGCTCGGAAAACATGTCATCGCGAGTGCGTTTTTTTCGCCTTCTAACCTGCGATAACCTCAGGGACGGAGATGATGGGGGAACGTAGAAACATTCTACGCTCTACGATTCTGGGGGGACTGCATGGTCACCTGTGCTGCTGAGTGCTGGTGAGTTTGCCACGCTAACCAAACAGGAAATGAAATTCAAAAGTTCCCGGGGCTATTCCTGTGTACCTGGCTAGTGCATGGGAGTTCAAAGTGCTGTCCAGAGCAGTCACAATGGAGCACTCTGGGATAGCTCCCGGAGGCCAATACTGTCGATTTGCGTCTGCACTACCCGAAATTCAACCCAGCAAGGTCGATTTTGGCACTACTCCCCTTGTCGGGGAGGAGTACAGAAGTCGATTTTTTTAAGAGCCCTTTAGGTTGACGGAACGGGGTTGGTTGTGTGGACGCAATCATTTTTAAATCAACCTAACGCGGCTACATTTGACCTAACCCCATAGTGTAGACCAGGGCTCAGGTTCTGGTAAGGGGACAGCATATCCTGGACTCTCCAGAATTATCAAATAGTCACAAAGACATGCTACTTGTGATCACCCCAGAAGTATTTTATCATTTAACACAAGTTATATTCAGTTCCTTATCCTCTAAGGAGCACTGAAAAAATGGAGGGGAGAGCGTGAAAGATGAGGTAGGAATTTGCCCCAAAACTGAGGTTTCTGGCAGAGAGTGGCATGTCCTGGGCTCTTCAGAATCGACTAACAGCCACAGGGCTGTGTCATTGAGGTGACCCAAGAGATATTTTCTCATTTTACAACAAGTCAAACCCAGTTCCTTATTCAAGGAGTTGTGGCAAAATGGAAAGGGTGAGGGGAGAGGGGAGGACAAGACGTGGCACAATTTGGTGCAGAAATTAAACCTCAGGTTTGGGAGTGGCATGTCTCAGGCCTGGTCTACACTACGAGTTTAGGTCGAATTTAGCAGCGTTAAATCGAATTAAGCCTGGACACGTTCACACGGCTAAGTCCCTTTTTTCAACTTAAAGGGCCCTTTAAACCGGTTTCTTTACTCCACCTCCGACGAGGGGATTAGTGATAAAATCGGCCTTGGCGGGTCGGAATTGGGGTAGTGTGAACGGAATTCAACGTTATTGGCCTCTGGGAGCTATCCCACAGTGCTTCATTGTGACCGCTCTGGACAGCACTCTCAACTCAGATGCACTGACCAGGTAGACAGGAAAAGCCCCGCGAACGTTTGAATTTCATTTCCTGTTTGCCCAGCGTGGAGAGCACAGGTGACCACGCAGAGCTCATCAGCACAGGTAACCGTGATGGAGTCCCAGGATCGCAAAAGAGATCCATCATGGACCGAACGGGAGGTATGGGATCTGCTCGCCATATGGGGAGATGAATCAGTGCTAGCTGAAGTCCATAGCAGTAAACGAAATGGCAAAATATTAGAAAAGGTCTCCAAGGCCATGAAGGACAGAGGCCATAACAGGGACGCACAGCAGTGCCGCGTGAAAATTAAGGAGCTAAGGCAAGCCTACCACAAAGCCAGAGAGGCAAACGGAAGGTCTGGGGCAGAGCCGCAAACATGCTGCTTCTACGCAGAGCTGCATGCCATGCTAGGGGGTGCAGCCACCCCTACCCCAACCGTGTGCTTTGACTCCTTCAATGGAGAAACACACAGGGAAGCGGGTTCAGGGTACGAGGAAGATGAGGATGAAGATAATGTAAATTCGACCTAATTTCGTAGTGTAGACATAACCTCAGGTTCTTCAGAAATGTTGAATGGTTGCAGACATGAATCACTTGGGGTGACAATTTGTCTTTGACACATCCTCAAATCTCAGTTACTTATTCAAAGTAAGAGACATTTACATTGTGCGGATCAGAGGCTTTGCTTGTGTCTCAGAAAAGTGTATTCTTAAAAACAGTTCTATTGCAATACAAAGTTTTACTTGTTTTTTTTAAGTCAGCCTCTGAATAAGGAACAAAGAACCAACTTCAGCCACATAAGATTGGGAGCTGTGTTATTCATATTCCTCATACCTAAAAATAACAATGGTTTAAACAAAACCTGGGTCCCAATCCTGCAAGGTTTATTACAAATGCTTAACTTTAAGAAAATCTGAAGTTAAAAGAATTACTTACATGCTTAAAATTAAGTACATGCAAATCAGAGATGTCTCTCAATTTAATAAAATCACCAGAAACATGTCATGCGTAGTGTAAATATTCTCACTCTGTAATATGGTAACAGCCCGCTAAATAGAAAAATCAGATTATTATATTACTGTATATTTCTCTAAACAAAAGCTCGCTGTTGTAATGGTTATTTTTGTTTCTGATATTTATATAGCAAGGATGTTTAAACCTACTAAAACTTCCTAAATAAAGTTTAAAAACCCTTCCTAAATCAATAGTTTTAGAAAAAGTTATTCTGCTATAGCTAAACTGGGGCTTGGGTTACACTTAAAAATTAGATTATGATAGCTACATCAGTCTGGGCTGTAAAAAAAACCCACACCCCTGACAACATAGCTATTCCAACCTAACCCCCAGTGTAGACACAGCTATGTTGATGGGAGAATGCTTCTGTTGACACAGCTAACTTGGGGTATGTCTACACTACAGCAGCACAGCTGTGATACTGCAGCTGGGGCATAGACACTTTCTACATTGATGGATAGATTTTTTCCCCATTGATGTAGTTAATTGACCTCTCTGAAAAGCAGTAGCTGGTCAATGGAAGAAATCTTCTATCAACCTAACTGTGTCTCCAGTGGAGGCTATGTTGCATAAGGCATCAAATTTTTCACAGCCCTGAGCAATGCAGCCAGGCTGACCTAAGTTTTAGGTGTAAACCATGCTTTTGTTTGAGCAGGTTGTGTTAGTATGTGGACAGAAAACCCTTCCACTGGTGTATGCTGCATGTATACTATAAGGCAGAGGTAGGCAACCTATGGCACGTGTGAGCTGATTTTCAGTGGCACTCACACTGCCCAGGTCCTGGCCACCGGTCTGGGGGGGCTCTGCATTTTAATTTAATTTTAAATTAAAACATTTTAAAAATCTTATTTACTTTACATACAATAGTTTAGTTATATATTATTCATTATAGACTTATAGAAAGAGACCTAAAAAGGTTTAAATGTATTACTGGCACGCGAAACCTTAAATTAGAGTGAATAAATGAAGACTCGGCACACCACTTCTGAAAGTGCTATAGGGTTATACACCGCTACCTTGATATAACGCGACCCGATATTACACGAATTCGGATATAATGCGGTAAAGCAGTGCTCCGGGGGGGTGGGGCTGCGCGCTCCGGTGGATCAAAGCAAGTTCGATATAATGTGGTTTCACCTATAACGCAGTAAGATTTTTTGGCTCCTGAGGACAGCGTTATATCGAGGTAGAGGTGGATTGGCATAGCTACAATGACATACCTACGCCAACACACAAACAGCCCAATACAACAATTGGGATATCTGGGAATCTGAGATGAGCTTAAAAAATTAGATCATAGGTATCACGAACAAGAAAGGGGCATGTTTATTCCACTAGCAAAGGGGTCATAGAAAAGTGAGTGACAACCTAAGTTCCCACGCCTCAAAACCAACAGAAGGCAGGGATCACTCCAGGATGAGTAACAGTTTCTTCTTGTCCTGGAGAGCAAAACCTCCTAGTGCAGGTCATGTCCTGTTTTCATTCATGACGTTCCTCATTTCCTCCATCATCCTTTCCCTCCCCTTTCTATGCACCTTGCCCTCCTCTCCTCTCGCTTTCCCTTGCCTCTACTCGCCCTGTAGATCCCTCCTCTTTCCAACCCACTCCGTCCTCGGTCATGGTATTGGCACGTACCCAGCTTGCCAAGGGCCATCAGACCCCGCTACCTGTTTCCAGGCCAAGCCCCTCAGGGCCAGGGGGTCCCGTCCCATGGATCCCCTACTGCTGCCCCCTCAATGCCCTTCTTCCCAGTGCCCGCCTGCCTTGCTCCGCTCCCCCGGAGGTGAGCCCTCTCCCCCACCCCATTGTCTCCTTGCTTCACCCCGCCCCGGAAGAGCTATATATGGTCGCCGGCCCCGGGGCGCCCCAGGTGAGGCACCGAGCCTGGGACCCCTCCCCCACTGAGTCACTCAGTTTCGCCCAGGCGCGGCGGGGTTTATTAGCCCGTCCTGGCCGGGTGGGGCAGCGCCAGCGATCGCAGGGGGAGGAGCGGCGGTGGCAGCAGCGGCCCCAGGTGGGTGTAACCGGAGAAGGGAGGCGCGGCGAGGCGAGGCTCGGTCACTACCTGCGGAACCTGTCGGGCAGCTCAGGCAGTGACTGGGAGCGGTTCCCCGAGGCGCACGCACAGGTCGCTCTCCCGCAGCCTACAGGGCCAAGCGCTCCGGACCCCGGACCCCCGACTCCCCGCCCGCTAGCCATGGAGCTGCTCCGCGGGGCTGCGCTGCTGCTGCTGCTGGTGGCCGCCGTGTGCTGGGCTCAGCAGGACCAGAGTGAGTACCCCCCCCCCGCCTGCCAGCCAGCGGGGTGCCCGAGATAGCCCGGCCCGGGGAGCTGCCGCTCGGTCCCGCGCCCCAAAACGGGACCTCCCGCCATTGGGCAGCGGCTGGCCGGGCTCCTTGTGCGGCAGGGCGAGGCGAGCTCCGCCGCGGCGCTCCGGCTAACGCGGGCTCCGCCTGCTCCTGGGGGGCCGAGCCCCCGGGGGAGGGAGCCGGGCGCGCCGCAGGGCTGGGAAAGCGCCGGGCGGGAGCGCCCCGTTCCCATCTGGGCGGCTGAGCCGCGCCCCGAGCACCTGCTGGGTCTCGATAACCCCCCGGCTGTCTAACGTCCCGCTCCCGAGCTGCCCCCGCCCTGCCCCTCCGTGCGGTGCCGAGCCCGGGAGTTTCCCGTGGACGGGCTGCGAAGGGGCGCGCACGGCGGATCCTGGGGGCGCTGCACGGAGAAATACTTGGCCGTCTGGGGGGAGGCGAAACCATCTGTTGGGTGTGGGGCCGGTCTCAGCATGGCCTGAGGAGCCGAGAAATTCTCCCTTCCAGTTCCTGCTCTGACGTGCGCAGGTTGGCCTGGCGCTAGTCACTCCGCTACGCTTTGTCTCGGCACCCGTCCGCAAAGTGCTAAAAGGGGAAGCGGGCCATGTTTGTAAAGGGCTAAGTACTCACAGCGTTCTTGGGGGTTTTAAATCTCTTTAGGTTGTACATGTGCCAACAACAAACGCACAACCAGCTGCACTAACAACTCCGGTATCTGCGAGTGTACATCCTTTGGGTCACAAGTCACAATCCAGTGTGACACACGTAAGTATCGCCTACGCTCCTTGGTTTGGACAGCTTCTTACTGTTATCTTTTCGGGTGACAAATAACTTACTAGGTCTGACCACTGGACTGCTTTGGCAGTGATTGGTGCTGACTGCTTCAGAGGAAAGGACAAGAAGCCACAAAATGAGCACTTAAGGAATAATTCACCCTTAGGGAAAGCTTCCTAACCCTCTGTTACTGATTGAAAAGGTTATAAACCCCTCATGCTCCAGGTCAAATTTGTTTGTCGTGTCTAAACAAGTTCTCATTATTCAAATCTATATATATTACCCCCCCCCCCTTTTTTTTTTTTTTTTAAATCCTTGTCCTCTGTCCCCTGGTAAGGCCTTCCACAGATGACTTTTGTGTAATGTTTCCTTTTAGCAGCTTTAAAATTGCTGCCTTTCAATACAACATCATTCTACATATAGCAAACCAAAAACAGTCAATGATGTTTTGAATCAATGGTTCTGGTAACTTTCAAGATAAAACTTTTTTTTTTTTTTTTTTAAACTATTCTTAGTGACTTCAAAATGTCTGCTGATGAAGGCAGAAATGGCTGCCTTAAAGAAGTCTGGTCGTAGGGCGAAACCAGAGTATGCATATGTAGACAACGATGGCATTTATGATCCTGACTGTGAAAACAGTGGCATCTTCAAGGCTAGGCAGTGCAATGGAACTTCCTGCTGGTGTGTGAACAGTGCTGGAGCAAGAAGAACTGAAAAGGGTGACACAAACTTGCAGTGCAGTGAACTAGTCAGAACAAGGTCAGTCTTGTAACACATTATGGTGCCATATTCTAATAGTACATGACTTGCCCTCTGTATTTTGTACGTAAGGGAGAACTTAGGAGTGTATATGTGAACCAAGAATCCAGTGGTCCTAACCTCCTAATAACTTAATCAGTTTTAAAATAATTTGATACTTCATTTAATACATCTGTGAGAATGTGCAGGGAATGGTGGAAAGAAGTTTCTAGTCCTTCTTGCTCACAACTTAATTTAAAAATAAAAATTGGGTAACGTGGACCTCCGAACATGAGTAGGCAAAATATTTTAATATGTTGGTGTACCTGACTTTGTAGATACTTAAATTATTTGCTCTAACTGCCTGGCTTTTATATTTCAGCTGGATCATCATTGAAACAAAACATGCTGAGAGAAGTACAGCTGTGGATCCTTCTCGTTTGGAGGAGTAAGTGCATCAAATTAAAACATCTGCTGTTTGTGCTATAGTATGCAGTTGAGGATGTTTATTTTTTCACTAGTACATTTAAACTAGGGCTGTCAATTAATTGCCGTTAACTCCAGCGATTAATTCAAAACAAATTAACACAACGATTAATTTTTTAATCAAGCGAATAACACTGTTAAACAATAATAGAATACCGTTTTAAGTTTATTATTCACATTTTTGCATGTTTTTCTAAATTTACAAATATATTGATTTCAGTTACAATACAAAATACAAAGTGTACAGTGCTCCCTTTTATTTTGATTACATATATTTGCTCTGTAAAAAAAGATAAACAAAAGAAATAGTATTTTTCAATTCACCTCTTACAAGTACTGTAGTGCAACTTACAAATGTAGATTTTTTGTTTTGTTTGGTTTGTTTGTTTGTTTGTTTTGGAAGTGAAGTTATGTAACAAACCAACAACAATGTAGGCTCTAAAGTTTTACAAGTCCACTCAGTCCTACTTCTTGTTTGTCTTAGCATTTGGCTGAACAAGTTTGTTTACATTTACAGGAGATAATGCTGCCTGCTTCTTAGTTACAATGTCACCTGAAAGTGAGACCAGGCATTCGCATGGCGGTTCTGTAGCCAGCATTGTAAGGTATTTACTTGCCAGATATGCTAAATATTTATATGCCATCTGGCAAGTAAATACCTTACAATGCTGGCTACAGAACTGCCATGCGAATGCCTGGTCTCACTTTCAGGTGACATTGTAAATAAGAAGTGGGCAGTATTGTTTACATTTATGGGAGATAATCTTAGCGATTGGCTGAACAAGAAGTAGGATTGAGAGGACTTGTAGGCACTTAGTTTTCCTTTGTTTTTAGAGTGCAGTTATAGTATTTTTCAATATGTAACAAATCTATTTCTTTTTTTTTTTACAGTGCAAATATTTGTAATCAAAAATAGTATAAAGTGAGCACTGTATGCTTTGTTGTAATTGAAATATATTTTTAAACGTAGAAAACATCCATAAATATTTAAATTGTATTCCATTATTGTTTAACAGTGCAATTAAAACTGCAATTAATCGCAATTATTTTTTTAATCTCATGATTAATTTTTTAATTGTTTAACAGCTCTAATTTAAACTAAGTAAAATAAAAATTCTTAGGTTTGCCAATATTGTAGTTAGAACACCAAAAATAATTGGCCTTCTGGTTTGAGCCTTTGAGTTACACTTGCGTCCCACTATCTTGCTCTTCCCTGCAACTGTGAGGGCTAGAAATTTAAGATTAAAACTGTCATATAATCACTTGAGACTGAGGTGGGGTTTTAATAATAAAAAAGGCAAATATTGCAAGCGTCACAATACCTGACTTACTTTATTAGAAGTTTTGACTTGGCCTTCACAATGCTTTATCATACATTCCCATGAAAGTGCCAATTGCCACTGGAGCTGTTGCTATATGTTGTACATAATTCCTCCTATAGGCCTCTTATTACTCATGAAAATGAAGACTCCCAATATGTTTGGGTGGCTGTTTAGCTTCTGTGTAAACTTAGAGTTGCTACATTTTAATATTGTAATCTTTTTGCAGAACCATCAAAAATGAATTTAACACACGTTACTTGCTGAATCCAAAGTATATAAATGATGTTCTGGTAAGAGGCATACCTTTTTCTTTACTTAGAAATATATCTGGAAGTCATTTTAATATCACTTTAAGATTGAGCTCATACAAAGCAAGCATTTTGGTGCTAGTATGACTATAAAACACTGTTAAATTGGAATATTCCAGTTGAATAGAAAGGATGATGGTATTGTTTCAGTGTAATCATTCAATTGACAAAAGCAGAGACTGAAGGGTAGGCAGTGCCTAGATCTGGATTAGATTTAGAGTTGGATTTTCTCCATTCTCTCCCCAAGAAGGGAGGAGAGATGTGCCTTGTTTGTGGGGAATCTACTCCTACTGTAGAACATGCTTCTGAGGCTAGGTCTACACTACAGCGGTGTTCCGACCTAAGATACGCAACTTCAGCTACGTGAATACCGTAGCTGAAGTTGCGTATTTTAGGTCGGCTTACCTGGTGGTGAGGACGGGGGAAAGCCGACCGCTGCCGCCGACTCCGCTGCCGCCTCTTGTCGAGGTGGATTTCCGGAGTGGACGGCAGAGCGATCAGGGATCGATTTTACCGCGTCCTCACGAGACGCGGTAAGTCGATCCCCGATAAACCAATTGCTACCCGCCGGATCGGCGGGTAGTGAAGACGTAGCCTGAGACACTGCCCCTACCTTCCCTTTCCTGTGAATCCTGTCCTGACAATCCCTTCAGACATGACCAAAATCTTGAGCTGCTCATGAATTGGAAAAATCAGAGTAAAGGCTGGTGCAAATTCTCAATTCACTGTCCAAAATAATTCTAAAATTCCTCCTCCCACCATATAGATAACTTGTATTGGAACCATGCAATGGTTAAGCAGCATCTAGTGTGCTATTTTTGGTATTTCCATCTTGTTCTCAATCTGTAAAACTGCTCATCAGTAACATTAAAAAGAGCATAACTCTATGGGATTGCTTTAAAACATTATAAATGACTTGTTAATTTTTTCATCAGTCCAGTTGTTTACAAGGAAGTAATAACAGTAACACTGCTTTCACTTTTGCAGTATGAAAACCCTTATATCACTATTGAACTGAAGCAAAATGGTTCCCAGAAGTCTGGCAAGGATGTGGATATAGCTGATGTGGCGTACTACTTTGAAAAAGATGTAAGACTGCATTAATAGTTTGCTTTCAAAACTGACTTCTAACAACTATATTCAAGTGTACTGGCTTATAATTTGAGTTGTATCCAACATTGTTTTTAGATGGATTATTGAATAAGAGCAGTGTGCTAATAAGTACCTCTTCAACCTCTCACAGGTCAAAGGTGACTCTCTACTTCAGAATGGCATGCTACAGATTAACATCAGTGAAGAACCTCTAAAATTTGATCAAGCTCTAATCTACTATGTTGATGAAAAGCCACCGGAGTTTTCCATGAAAGGTCTGACTGCTGGTGTTATTGCCGTCATTGTAGTGGTGATACTAGCAATTGTTGCTGGAATTGTTGTACTGGTAAGTTTAGTTGTAAACAAGTTTAGTAATACTGGCAATGTACACTTTGTACCAGCACTCTAGACCAGTCGTCCCAAACTTTTTTCTCAGCTGCAACACACCTCAAGCTCCAGAGGCTCTTCCTTCTCCTACCGCCCTCCCCAGCAAATGACTACAGGAGGGAAGGGGACGGGCACAGGAGCTGACCTGTTGCTCACACGAGAGGGGAGGGAGGAAGAGTGAGTAAGCTCTGGTTGGTTGCTCTGCCCTGAAATAGGCGAGGCCGATGGCTAATCAGAAGGTGGCGTTCCCTCACTTGTTCTCACATGTACTTTTTCAAAAAATTCCACAGCACACCTGTTTGGGCCTGACAGCACACGGCTGTGCTATGGCACACCAGTTGGGAAACATTAGTGTAGACTACAGAGAAGCAATCATGTATATTACAGCAGAAAATGATTTCTGTAAAATCAGTTGCACTCAGTCTGTAATGACTGTAAAAAATAAATGACAAACCTCATACTTGTCTCCTTCTGAGCGCAGTCTCTGAATGAAAAGCCTGTTTTTGTTCTTTGTTTTCTCTGTAGCTCTGGTGCAGCACACAAGTAGGTGATCTTTTGGAGATAGGAGGGATTGGGAGAGTGGAAGATAGGATAACTTAAATCTGTATTTGGATGGGGATAAGGTGTTGTTGTTGGTGTTTTTTTTTTTTTTTTTTTTAATTTTCTAGTCCAATGTAGTAAAGTGGGTAGCAGAAACTCTTTCCCTTCCTTAAGGACTCACGGTTTGGGAAACTTTAAAGCACCGAGCAGGCATGAATCTTAACACTGAATTGTGATGCTTGACTTAACTGTCTAACCTGTCTGTCTTTTACAGGTTATCACTAGGAGAAGGAGAGGAAAGTATGAGAAGAGTGAGGTAAGTTCTAAAGGACCCAAAACACTTCATTAGATACTCCATGCCTTCAGCCTTCATAGAAGTCTGTGTCACTTTCCTCCGGATTTTTCTAGGGGGAAAGACTCATTTTCCAACTAAGGCAAAATTTGTTTTTGTGTGGGTTGCAAAACAAATGTCAAAGCTTTGTGTCCATATACAAGTGACTCTAGCTGCAATGACTTAGTGTGGCCAGAGCTCATGGTTTTTAATACTTGCTGGCCACTTGCTGTGTAATAAACCAGTTATTGTAAGTCCGTATTTCTGTTTAGGTACATCCTTTCCTAATATCCACAGGATTATGACTATATACAAGTAATGTAGTTGGTGATAGGGGCAGTCTGATGCCAAGAGGAACTGTTGTCTGGTACTTTTGTACCTTGAGACTGAGGCCTCAAATGAGAGAGGCACAAAGCATCTAGCTTAAAACTTCTTCACTTCTGCTCTCTGCCAAGCAGAAGGAAAAATTCAAATTTGGGGTTTCTTGCAGTAGCACTGGCAAGCCTAGAATTGTGTGATGTCACAGCAGTAGAAGTAGCAGCTGCATCACCAGATTTGACTAGATCTCCTGGTTGCAGACTATGATCTATGTACTGATGTCTAATAAACACCCTTTTGGAAAAGGGAGATGCAACTCTAAAACTTGTCATAGCATTGTGACAGACCTCTTATATGAGCAAGGTTAATGCATATTTGGTGCACTAAGCCCAAACATTTATGCAGGCATTAAGTTCCCAGTAACTGAGTTAAGCCCATGAGTAAGTGTTCGCAGGAGGAGGGTTTTATTTTCTATTGGGCTGAGTGAAGCTATGGCCATGAATTACGTAATGGGATGAAAATGTCTGGCTATGATAGGTGTTTGGGGCAGTGGCAAAGCTAATAGAGGGACAGGGGAGTGACTGCTGCCACCTCCCTCCCCCCAGTGGCTTTAAGGAGGTAAATATAATTGTCTTCCAACATCTGTACCATTCACATTTTTCTCCTCTTCCTTCCCCACCAGGCAAAGGAAATGAATGAAATGCAAAGAGAACTAAACCCATAACTGAAGTCACTAGAAGACAAATTGTGAACTATCAAGAAGGCAAACAGAACTGAAACAAGACTAGAAGTGTGGATTTAAATTTGTGTATGTTTGGTCTATGGGGAAAAATTATGTAACTTGGTGATCTCTCAAATTTGAATGAGCATAAATAGGATAAGTACTAGTACTATTGTCGCCAATCTTGAGGGGGTGGGAGGGGTACAGGTTTAATTTGGGATCTGGCTAACTCTCCAAGAGATTGTAATGATGAGCTGAACTGCAGAAGTGTTGCAGTAACTCATATGTCAGAGTTACACATCGATTACAAACTTCCTACTACAAATAATGGAAAATTAATCTAAATACACATTTTATTTTTTTGAGGCTGGCCTTGTCAGGATATAGCTACAGAACTCCGAATACCTGCTATCTGGCTCATGTACAGTTGAATATGGCTTTGTTTTTAAGGATGTCTGTATTGTACACTGTCTTTGATACATTTGCTGTAACTTTTTTATGACTTGAATTTAATAAAACTCTAAAACAAATTGCCTGCTCTCTATTATAGTCACTTTATATTATTCTGCTAGTCTAGTTAAACTAATCATGCAGTATTTCAGTATTATCCTCTGTGCTACCGTGTAAAAATATCTACAGAAGAAAGTAAGCAACCCAGACATGCATGTGATCTAATCTTCCCAGAGAAATTCAAGTGCTATGTCGTATGTGCACCTAAACATCCTTATTGTATTGGCCAACCATCTTTCTGGCTGGGCGCCAACTGTTTAAGCTCTTGTCTTCTGGCATTCTTGTTGCAGACATGATATAAACATGGCATCCATTTCTATTTTAAATGGATAAATTATATCAAAGCCAAAGACTACCCAGTTGTTAAATACTAACACAGTAAATGCATGTGTAGCTTTGATTTGTGGGGGAGGGGGTCCTTGTCCATATAATTGTACAACTGTATTTAAAAAATGCAGATTCCTATGACACAAGTTCCTCAACCCCTGTTCCAACTCAGTATTTTATCCAGACTTGCCCTTTTAATACATTGTTAGCTGTGCCTATCATGAGCTTTGCATAAATCATAAGAATGTATAATCTTTCAAGTGCCAAAAATCTTGGGAGCGGGGGCAAGATCTAATGTAAAAATGGCTGTCAAACACCTCAAAATGAAAACTGTTAAATTTTTTTTGATTAGTAATACTTAAGATTTTTGTCATGGTTATTTTTAGTGACATTCAGGGACAGGTGGCGATATGCAAAAATTCACAGAAGCCTGCAACCTGTCCTTGACTTTCACTAAAAATAATGGGGGAGAGGGGGACTGACCACTGGAGTGAAATGAAGCCTCAGTTGCTGTCATGGGAGTGTGGGGGGGCAGACAGCTCCAGTCCCTGCCCCCACAACTGCCCCCACTCAGGCTAAAGCTGAGGAAGTCAGAGGTTCCTTAAAGTAACAGAATCCATAACTAAATTGGATCCTTGGTAATTATCAACACTCAGCAGACCAGAGGGCTGTTTCAATATCCAATCAAGCTTTGTCTCTAGTTTTGACTGGAGAACTCCTGTATTTTTTTTTTTTTTAAAAGGTTGCAAGAATGTAAGAGGTTCATCCATTTTTGAGCTGAGCTTAACTTGAAGTCTCTACTAAAAGTAGTGATCCCTTCCCCTTCCTCCAATTCTTCTAACAATAAACCCTAAATCACAAATCTTAACCCAGTTGCTTTCAGTCTAAGATGTGTAACAAACTGAATACTAGGTAACTTTAATGGCTCTGCTCTCATGGTTGAGGTTTTACTTCATATTCAGGCTTGTTAATGGAAATGTTCCTGTGGAGTCTGGTTGCTTTGGACTCAGTATTCCAGTCTCAAAGGGAACAGGTTTTAAACCTGTAGATGCTGTGGAGCACACTGGAAATACTGAGGGGTTATGGTGCAATGGAAGCTGCACCATAGTTAAGGTTGCATTACAGATTTCTGTTTAACAGGAGCTTTAAATTTTTGTTAAAATCTCACTGAAATGGAAAATGCCGAAAGGCAATGTAGACTTTGACTCCTATTAAATTTTTTTTGGTGGTTTGACTGGAAAATAATATGCCTGTGGAATGAATAACTTCAAAATCACCCCTGCAATTTTACACTGGATTGTCTTGCTTTTGTTGTAAATTTTTTGCAAGAAATCTAAGACAGTCTGGATCTTGGCCTTTAGCCATGTTTGCTCTTCATTTGCTGATTCCTAAAATATCAGTTACACAGCTGTGTTAGAACAATTTATAACTTTTTAGCCATAACAGAAAATACATGTCAAGCTAAATCCACAGAACAATGGGATCTAAACTTGTGTCTAGAAATCACTTTTGAAAATAAGATTTAGGCTTCTAAATCAGTTAGGTATTGCAACACTGAGTGCAGCAACACCTAAATACCTTGAGAATCTGGGCCTAAGGCCATAATCTCAATCTAAAAGAGAACTGCTGTTGAACACTCTCCATTTTTAAAATGTTAACAGAGCTTATGCAAGGTCATAAACCACGTCTAACATGAAACTCTACAATCTTAGCCACTCCCCTATGCTGCCTTTCAGGGTGACTAGACCGGTTTGGGTTATCCTGTGTTAATCACTATAAAGCACTCGCTTCTCCCAGAGCCAGGAATAGAATACAGGATCCCTAATCACCCAGTTCTACTGCTTACTAGTAAACAGGTGTGAAACCCACTTGGAAAGTGTCAAGTCCTCCTTTATTGGTTAGCAGTTACTCCTGTAGCTCAAGTAGTAAGGCAGCCTAAGACAGGGACCTGATGATGGTCAAGGTGTTGAAACCTTGCTCCTGTTCTATGTAGGGTGGTATGGTTGCATGTAATAGAGGGAAGACTTTAAAACAGATTGAAAAACTATGATCTGAAAAGTAGGTGTGAATCACAAAAATACATGTTTCACATTTCAGTTTGTAAAATATTTTGCCTGTGTAACCCACTGGTCAGCGTGTGTTTTGTTAGGGTTGCAAAGTCTCCAGGAATTAAATATTAATCTGTAATTAAAGATTGTCATCTGATGAAACTACCTGGAATACGTCCAACTAAAGTTAGTAACCCTACCTTCTATTCCCCCATGGTCCACAGAGGATGAGAGTCTGACAGTTCTCACTCCAAGAGACTTGGTCTTTAGCAAATATGCTAAAGACTCAAACTTTCACTTCTGTAGGTCATCAGTTCAATCCATATGGTGTTGGCCAAGATAGCAGCCATCACATTTGCCGGTGTCCCACATTGGCATCTTTGAAGGTTGAGAGGTATGCTTTATGCTGGCAAGAGATGGGGGGGTCTAGAGGAACAGGAAGCCCAATACCCAGACCTGCTGGTACAATGTAGGCATGTGCACCCAGAAGTCCACAAGAAGCTGGGAGAGTTTCAGGAAGTGAGTGATGAGATAGATTCCTTCATGAAATTCCTTCCAGCTCACAGGTTACATCACCACTGCTAAGCATAGAGGTTTGATCATGGTGTACTTACTTTCAGTAATTCTTAAACAGGGATAAACTGTTATACATACAGGGTTTACTGAGATGTGTGTCAGCCTCTCACACTCTTCAGAAGAGTCAATGCAGTCCAGAGCAGCTTTAGCAGTGTAAAGCAACAGAGAGTCCTGTGGCACCTTTAAGACTAATAGATGTGTTGGAGCATAAGCTTTCGTGGAGACTCTCTGTTGCTTTTTACAGATCCAGACTAACACGGCTACCCCTCTGATACTTTAGCAGTGTAGTTCCTCCATGTGATCTCAGGCAGGTGCAGCTTCCTTTCTCCCTGATTCTGCAGAGTTATCTACTGAGGTACACTAAAGCTGAATAAAAAAAATAGGAAATCAGCAAACAAACTATGTTTTGGGACAGTTAAAGTTGCAACAAGACATGATTCATCCACACAAAACCTTAAAAGAGTGGAAATAAGGGGGGAAATGTGTACATTCCTTTCTACCTTTATATTGCCATACAACACTATTGATAACACACTCCACAAGACTTTCACTTCCATCTGCAACAGATACCAAAAGGTGCGTATGTACTCCAGCTTCTTGCGCTTGTTGCAAAAAAAAGCTGTGATGAACAGGCATTTCTCTATGTAGCATTTGTTGACCTACAAAAGGCCTTTGACACGGTTACCAGGAATGGCATATACAAGATCCTGTCGAAAACTGGCTGTCCACAAAAAGAGATCTCCCTATTTAAGAATGAAGGCAACTATCCAGCATGAAAATGAAGCATTGTCTGAGTTTCCCTTGCCTTGCCCCCCGTTCCGGTGTCCCTGGCTTTATGGCCAACTTAAGAACTGCCCATGGTGCAGAGGAAGGCCAAAGCTCCAATACAGCGACAAGGTCAAGCAAGGTCTCAAGACATTCAGCATTCCCACTGACAACTGGGAGAACCCTGCCCACAATTGCTCTGTCTGGAGCAGTCATCATGGAGAGCCATCAGAGAGCCCAGGCTGAGGCCCATAGGCAAGCCAGGAAGGTCTGCCGCTTGCACATCAGGCTCTTCTCCCACATGACTGTCAAGCACCATTGATTGACTGACTTTGTCATGTTTCTTTTCATCTGTCAAGATGTTGGATGGCCATGTACCATATACCCCAGCTTCCTCAAACTTGCACTTTAATGCAAAACCTTAACAGTGACCTCAGCAGCGTTACCGCAGAATAATTCCCTAAATGCAGAAAATGTGTGACATTCAGAGGTGCTGTTGATATAATTGATATAAAAGCATATGAGGTCACTGTTAAGGTTTTGCATGCTTATTTCCATGCTTTTAAGGTTTGGGGTGGATAGAGTATGTCTTGTTGCAACCTTAACTGCCACTAAACTTAGTTTTTGTTTGCTAATAACACTGTACAAGAGTTAATCCGGCAGTAACATAATGAATTCTTTCAGAGTGGTAGCCGTGTTAGTCTGTATCAGCAAAAACAACAAGGAGTCCTTGTGGCACCTTAGAGACTAACAAATTTATTTGGGCATAAGCTTTCGTGGGCTAAAACCCACTTCATCAGATATGGAGTGGGTTTAGCCCGCGAAGGTTATGCCCAAATAAAATTTGTTAGTCTCTAAGGTGCCACAAGGACTCCTCGTTGTTTTTATAATGAAGTCTGTGTTTCTTTGTTTTCTTAAGAATTGTTTACACACA